AATGTAGGGTCATGAGAAAGGGTAAAGGGGCCCAATTAGGTTAACTTAAATTTGTAGTAACATTGTATGAGCTATAAATGGCTCAATGGGATTAGATAGAAGGAGCAGGTCTATGAGACATAGACTCTAGCCTTGCTTTGAGCTGGGCTTGACTCAAACAGAAGCCCAGAAAAAAAGGCCGAAACAAGTTAACGCGGAGCCCTGCTTTGAGGAAGAATGAAAATTTTGCCCTTGCATTGAAAAATCTTCAGAATTATTCTAGAATGTGAAAGCTATTGAACTATAAGAATAATAGGCTTGAGATTATCCCCTGAGGCATCCCCTGCTTGCTCTCTTAATGCCCCCTTCCCAAATTTTCTCACCCCTACCTTTTCCACAATATCTCCCCATGTATGATGACCACTAGCTAGTCCAATGCCGTGGACTGTATCCCTGTCGCGCCTGATCAGCTGAGTGAAATAACACACCCTCTATGCTAAAACAGATATAGTCCTTGTTTTTTAGATGTTTTTTTTTCAGGGATTAGTAGAGACTTTGCTCTCTGTGTGGGACATAAGGGGGTGAAAAAATGAGATTGAAGAAGAAAAAAGTTGTGTCAAAATGGACAGAATCTGAACTAGATAATGACATGCTGCAGTCCATCATTGCTTGTTAGAGTGTCCCTGGGCCTCTGATTTAGAAGGGTGATTCCTGTGTCGAAGCTCCTTCAATTTACTCAACGATTAATGACTTCCTTTCTTATACTGCTCACTAATTTCTGAAATTAGAACAATCTCTAATGCCAGAGCACTCTGAAGTGATATTACTTCATAAGATTAAATAGTTTTAACTCTTCATCATCAACAATCAAATAAAATGTTCATAGCTCAATTTTACTGTATCATTCCAATGTTGACACAGATAGACTTCTCCCTCTTCACTGTGGCATTTTTTGGTGGCATTTAATAAGTGAGAGAGAGAGAGAAAGAGAGAGAGGGATGTGGGGTGGGAGGGATGGGAGGGGCTAGGGTTTGGGCATGCTGGTCTTCAACGCACAAAGGAGGTGAACTTTTAAGTGTCAGATTGCCATGGTGTTCATCTTTGAGGTTAAACAGGCTCAATTTGTCGTCTTTGTCACAATGTGTCATGGTTTGCTGTCATTTCTTGAACTGGACAGACCTTGTAGTACAGGTACATATACACTGATATAAGGCAGTCACTTTAGACTAAAGTAAAGAAAAGAAAGAAAGAAGCTAGGAAAGTAAAAATAAATAAATAAATTGTGATGGAATAAATGAATTATTTGATGAATGTCTTAATAAGTAGATAATTAAATATATGAATGAACAAATGAACTAACGAACGAACAAACGAATGAATGAACGAAAGAACAAAAGAAAGAAAGAAAGAAGTTAAGCAAGCCAGAAAGCAATGTTACCAAGGTCAAAGGTCAATTTCAAAGCTTCGTAATTTGGGAGAGTGAGAAACACTTCACTGAGAGCAGTATATGGTCTATTGGCGAATGTTCTTTATCCATCTTGATCCTTGCTTGCATGGTGCTTACATCCTTGAACAAGGTATATTACCCACATTTCCCCTCTCCACCTATAGGTGCGTGAAATGGGCTCTTGGATATGCTGGGGTAACAATAATTTATATGCTTCCTGGGAGAGCAGTATTAGTATCAATGAGTCTATCATGTTTTAATAAAACCATATGATATTATGATTCACTATTTGCTGTAATTCTACTTTCTACAACAACTACACTTTCTGTTTTTTCCCTGTAACCTTGAAATAGAGGAAGTAGGGGGATGTACTTTCCATGGAGAGGGCAAAGAGAACTGTGTCATCTTACTTTGCACATTTATGTTGATTACCATCTAGAGATTGAAAGGGGGAAAGGGTGGGCTTAGAAGGGGGTGGGTAGGAAATCCAAGCCCATGGAGCATTCTCCTTACCTGGTAACTTCCAAGGTCAAGTGCATTAATAGAAATATGTAGTAGAGGCGCCTTTGATCAAACATCCCCCCCCCCCAAAAAAAAAAAACAACAACAACAAAACAAACAAACACACAATAACAACAACAACAAACAAACAAACAAACAAACGGAAAGAGAGAGGAGATGAACTTGAATAAAGGAAACAAGAACAATGATGAAGATAAAAAAAGAAAGAAAGCAATTGGATTAAAAATCAAGCTCTGAAGAGCAAATCTTGAGGGGAAGTGGAAATAGGGACACAGTTGATGGGGGAAATCCCCCTTCACCACACATCCTCCCTTGGACTATATGTGAGAGTACGGTACATTTTATAATATCTTGTTTGCAAGTTGATCAAACAGTTCCTGTTGATACCCAGGCATTTCAAAAACTGTCCCATCAAGGCATCTACCGATTTAGGAGAGAATTAAGGGCCTTGGAGATGTTTGGAAGAAAAAAAAAAATCATTTAACATTTAGATTAAATGCCATTAAATTCCTCTGTGACACTAATATGAAGATGCAAACTTCTTTTTAGATTTTTAGGTCTTATTCTAAGGAACTGACAGGTGTTCACAAAAATTGACTGAAAAATCTTGAAGGAATATCACATTGTAGTAACAAAATATTAGCTTGTTGGAATCTTCCTTAGTGTTCAAGGCACATGTCTTTATGTTAATCATATTGGTGATTTAATTTAATTTTATAAATATCTGAAGAGGAGGGGGAGGGGGAGGGGGAGGGGGAGGGGGGGGGAGGGGGAGGGGGAGGGGGAGGGGGAGGGGGAGGGGGAGGGGGAGGAGGAGGAGGAGGAGGAGGAGGAGGAGGAGGAGGAGGAGGAGGAGGAGGAGGAGGAGGAGGAGGAGGAGGATAGATACTAGGAGTAGGAGAAAGAGAAGGAGAAGATGAAGAAAAAGGAGGAGAAAGGAAAAGAAGAAGGATGAAAAAGAAGAGAAGAAGAGAAACTATGGAAAGCTTATAAGAACCTCAAAATACTAAATCCACCCCTAAAAAAAATTATGCAAACCATACTATCTCTGTGAAAACCTCCCCTCCCAATAGAGCTCATTTAACCCGAAAAGGTATTTTTGACTGCCTTTCTCATAGTGAGTTAATGCTGAAAAAGAGGTTATGGGTCATTCCCCCTGACACGCTTGTATACGTGAGCTGCACTTTGAGTAAGAGTCACTAGCTATCTAACTCCTCTTTCTTACTCACCCCACCTCTCTTTAATTGGTTGATTAGTTATAGCAGTGACTGTCAGCGAGGCAAGCATTGGTTGAGGAGTGTCTCTGGTCTGTGGCCGGCTTGGTCAATCACTAACATTCGCTCTCATGACGCGATAGCCAATTGGCAACTCCCCTTGCCACCGATTTCTTGATGAGGATCTTTTAGTGATCTTTGTTTATCATCTTCGTTGTTATTTGTGTGTTTTGTTTACTGGAGCTCAACGAAGAAGCCTTCAAGATAATATTCATTTGAAGATTTGGTGAAGTGTTGCATTTATGTCATCTTTGTCTTCATTTGAAGCCAATTGGAATCATAATATTGTGATTTTTGGATTTATCAGCACCATTGATATCCTTCAAGGAATTTGATTATCTAAAGTGCTTCTTTTAAGGTTTGTGAAATTAACTGTTTTGTGATAATATGAAGTCTTTGTTCCTTTGTTGGTGGACCAATTTATGTGTGTGCTTTAAAATCACTCTCTACTCTTTGCTTTAAAGGTTGGAAAATATGAAATGTTTTTTCTTAGATATTGTTATTTTTGTCTTAGGTTGGGGTTTCATACAGTATGTTATTGTCATTTACATATGATCTATTCTATAGAATCCTTCTCTGAATCATTTTAACCTAAAAGATTAGGTTTTTTATTTTGTAAATGATTGACTTCATAGATTTGTTTTCATCCATTTTTCCAAGGAAATTCACCTAAAAATTGAACTAGAAGAGAATACAGGATAAAATACAAATTGTAATTTAAGTCTGCAAAGTTTTTGTTTTATCAATAAGTTATTCTAGTCACTTTGCTGCATTTAGAGAGAAAGAGAGAAAGAGAGAGAGAGAGAGAGAGAGAGAGAGGGGGGGGGGGGGTGAATAATGGCTCAAATATTGGGTAAAGGTTTTATCTAACAATATATATATACAAGTTTAACAAAACAGTTTTAGAGATTCAGCCAAAAATGTAGTCAGCAGGATAATTGAAAACAAAAAATTTAGAAAGTGGAATATTACTAGAAAATTAACTTGTAGAACACATGCTAATTCTTCTCAGGTAAAATTATTTACTGCAAAAAGATGAATAATTGTTAAAATGTTTTCTTTACCATGTATATCAACTTATAGCAACACAAATAGCTATGACAAAAGAACATCTATTAATAATATCCAGATATGTTTGACGTACAGGAGCCTGCATGAAATTTGATTGAACACTAATATTGAATCATTGTTAGGAAGGGACGTTTTTCCTCACAAGATGACTATATTAATTTCCATCTACGTCGCTTCATGTTGAAATTCTAGTGTATTTAGGTTAGTAAAGTTGAATGATTGATTTGTTTGCCAAGATGACCAGACCTCCAGCTAGATAAGATGCCGAATAAAAAAAAAGGAATTTTGATATTTGAAGCTTAGTTTCTTTTGTCTTGTGCATTTTTGTACTAGTGCAAATATGGACTAACATTATAAATGTAGTACATGGCCCGGTGAAGAGCTTAGTGTTTGCTGCTTAAGTTCAAGATCATTTTACAATTTGTATGTGAGATGAGACAGGAAACTTGTGTTTTCCACTCATATTCCCTTCTACTTTTTTGTTTGTTTACAAACATATTTCACCCTTTTTTGAAGTCTTTTGTATTTATAGTGATACATTTTGTTATAAGTCATTGCTGATTTTCATATCAAGGGATGGTTATTTAATTTATTTTGAGTATTACACTTTGCATCCAGTATGCATAATTTATTAATTAATTAGCTTTATGTAGAAATTAGCTGAAAAGGATTATCGATAAATTAATTAATTTTCTTTTGTTTTTCAGACGAGTGTCACCTAGGCCTTCATAACTGTAACCCGAATGCTCTTTGTACCAACACACCTGACGGATACCAATGCACCTGTAAAGAGGGATTCTTAGGGGACGGATTCTCCTGTATAGGTGAGTTTAACCCACTGACTACTGAGTTCTCTCATTTCCATAGGCTTAACACAGGGACCACCTGGTTCCCTTAGACATTAGGTTAACCCTCTGCTTATTTCCCAGCCATGAGAACAAGATTAACACCAGACAGATACAAGACCAAATGACAAGAGTAAATAATATCACTGGTATACTTGGTATTTATGCCTTTGGTATTTCTTAGGTTTATACCAAACAACTGGGTCCACAGCACAGATTCACAGCACAGATTCACACATAAGGCGCGATAGCTCAGTCGGTAGAGCAGTGGTCTCGTAATCCGGTGACCCGGGTTGGAAACCAAGTCGATGCGCTAGTGCCCTTTGGTAAGGCATTAATCCTTATTACCAGGTCCCTCGGCCGTCTGGTATATGCTATACTAACAAGCATTTATTGCTTTCTTAGCTGTCAGGTAAAATAACCACCACTATCCAATAATGTTTTTCATTCATACACGTATAATAACAATAAGGCTAGTTCAGATATTACACAGCAAAACCATGGTGGGTTTTTATGATGACATAAAGTGCCATAGCTTTCCATTTCTGTATATCTAATATAAACACAGAGTTCAGTGGATACATGCAAGATGCAAGTCCTGTGTTGCGCGCAGTTACCATTTATTTACATGTAAAAAAGATTGCTTGCGGTGGTTTATCATGCTATATCTGCATGAGCAAGCATGATAATAGTGATGCATGTACTCTTAGTACACTTTATGAAACATCAAGTCAATGCTAGGCCAATTAAGCTGTTAATTAATTTATTGGCTATAGGGTAGGTATATAATAGCTTATGTGGATCTAAGCATGGCTGTTAATTAATGAGTTACCTTGCCTCATGGAAGGTTCATTGTATTTCGACTCTCTCATGAGTTTGTAATTAAACGTTTGTCTCAAGGGTTAATTTAATTAAATTTCACACTAATTCCCAGACTGAGCAGCAGTTGACTTCCTAATAATTGAAAACATTTGAAGCATAAGGAATTTTGTATAAAGTGTACGGTTGTAATAGTACTCTTTTCATAGAGGCAATAGGGATGTTACAGAAATGGAAAGGAAAGGGGATAGGGCATTATAGAGGTTTCAAAATGGTTATTGAATGTTTTATTCATAGTGAGATATGACACAAACTTTCTAAGGATTTGAATTTACTGTGCTTTTAGTAAAAACTTGCTGTTATGATTTATCATTTCATTGCAGTTTGAGAACTTTAACCCTATCATTTTCTGGGTCATTCCTTAGATGTAAAAATCTATCTCACCAAAGCTGAGATGAGAAGGTTATTCAAATCATGTGATGTGCTACTTTCATGAGCTATTCCTGAACATTATTTGAGTGCTCTCATCAGATAGCCGCTCAATGAGCCCAAGGCACTTCTAGATTGAATATTAGTTGCCTGAAAATAAATCACAGTGCTTTCCAGGTTTTTCTGAAAGTTTTTTCTTTTTTGTTGTTGATGTGTCCAGTTATAGTTTGTGAACTGGGCTGGCAGGTTGATAGGCTGTACATTCTAGATATTTTCAACCAATTATTCACTATTTGTACCTTTATTTAGCTTGGAATGTATATTTGTGACTTCTCTACGAAGCAACTCTCATCGATGCCTTTGAGGGGATTAATTTAACCTCATTTTATCCGGCTTCCTTCAATATTTGATTAATCTGAAGGTAGAAAAAATGTCACCGTCTAATCAACGAAGATGGGCATAATGTGTGGAGTAATGTTTACCACTAGACTAATTATAGTTAGATGATGATTCGTACTGTCACCTGTGGGACATAAGGTGGTACTACTTATCTCAAATTAAGTCTTAAACCTCAAGCCTTTCCTTTGAATTAACATCTTAAGATAAAGAGAGGTGTGCTGTGGGTGGGAGAGAGAGAGAGAGAGAGAGAGAGAGAGAGAGAGACAGATTTGAACATAGAATAGCAGATAAACATATAAAAGAGAGGGGGAGTAAGAGAGAGAAGAAGAGTGGGAGGGAAAGAGATAGAGTGTGGGAGGGAGAGAGGGAGAGAAGGACTGAATGAGAGAGAGAGAGAGAGAGAGAGAGAGAGAGAGAATGGAAAAGGGGGTAGGGGTAGAGAAAGGGAGAGAGGGGAGGGAGAAACCATACTTTGAAGAGTGAAACATAATCTGTTTAAATTCTGAAAGATTCTTAAGTATATGAGATAATGCCCTTCTGGCTCCAATTTTCAGACATTATGTCCCATAAAATGGGACTTTTGCTAGCAATGTTTTCAAACCTTTAAAGCAATGACCACCTGCTAACCTTTATTGTAATCAGAGTTTTCATTTTTTTTCCTGCTCTTTTATGACACCCCCATCATTCTTTGGCATTATTCATATTTAATAGGGCTAGGATGTTGGCAGAGATTTCTTTAAGGGGAAGATGAACAGGTCTATTTTTGTTATATTTTATGAACAAAGAATTAGAGAATGAATGGAAAAGGCTATTATTAGCTTTAGAGATGTAGTTGCTGTTACTCTTCTAACAAATTACAGTAATAATGTACATCCCTTTTTGATGCTTACCTAGCAGGCAAACACTGGGGGTAGGGGAGCATATCTTTGTACTTTTGTACTTATGGTATACAACTTGGGTTTCAAAAGCAGGGGCAGTTGTGCCCCCTCCCTTATCCCATTTGGTCCTTGTTATACATTTTGGCCATTTTCCAGATCGAACAAGGTTTTTTGTGAATATTCTCTATCCATGTCAAGGTCTATTATGTCCAAATATGTCTCTTTCACAGCATGATAATATTAAAAAAAAAAAAATTACATGCATTTAAACTTGGAGGAAGTTTGGGAGGAAGTAATCGTATTAATGAAAAAGGATATTTACTGAGTGAATCATGCTCATGCTTTAAATTATCCATTCAGTTATTTATAAAATTCTTTTTCTTGTCATCATTGCATCCAACCATTTAATTGATGCATTATTGCATTCTCTGTCAATTCCAAGTATTTTTGCACAAATATTACATCAAACTTTCTTAGTATGATATGTTTGAGGTCAAGAACATATGGGGTTTTACTTAGAGAAGTGATGTTGATTTGAGAGTAAGTAGCAGAGAGAAAAACTAAGACTTATAGACATGAAACAAAAGATAATTAGAAGAGAAGGAAGTAGAAGGAAACGTCACCGTTTAAATAGAAATGGAAGTTATCACATGACTCCTACTGGTCCAGAGTTTTATTCCAGCTGCATCCAGACGGGGTCATTTGTTTGAAGTATTTTCATTCATTAGCCACAGTGTATCCAGGTGACAAATGGGGATCTAGGGGATGTTCAAAGAGATGATTTCATGATTATGTAGTAATGGTAATTGTGTTTTGAGGGAAAGGAGATGCATGGCGCATATATTGTGTGAAAGCTTTCAATAAAGGGACAGTCATACCTTTTCTATAATATGAACTAATTCTGTAATGATAAGTCTTGGGTATAATGATACATATGAGTACCGTATGTGAGCTTATAAACCCTAGAATATATTAAAATGCTGTGAAATATTGATTTAAAATAAAATGGCCAAGAACCTTGGCGGCGGTGGTAGTGATGGTGGTGGTGGTGGAGCTAAAAGGGAGGGGGAGCTGGTGGACCTCATCATAAAAATCAGTATTCATATTTTGTTGCCAAGCATTTTGACCCTGTTCATAAAAACCCAGTTCAGACTGTTCCGAACTAAAACAAACATGTAGTAGTAGTATAGATATTCCTATGGTATAATAGTTGCAATGAGACACATATGAAGAATTAAATTTACAGAGAACCCAAGATCTATTAATTTCTTCTTTTTTGATTGGCTTGACCTCTATAATTCAAGGTGTGAACAGTGCCTCAGGGCCAGTTTCCCATCAAACTGTTTGTCATTGAGACTAATTTATAGCATGATTAGGCTAGCATTTATAACTAAGCAGACGCTTTGTGCAGCACCCCTCTCATAATATAAAGGATGGCTGCGTTTCCTCTCTACTCCTCTCACACTCAAGAATAATTAAGAGCCCCATTAATAAGGAAAAATTAATTAGTTTTTTTAGTGACCCTTATAGTTGCCTGCACATTTACAATGTGGTTCTTCTGGGGGTCAGTTTTACCTCTCTGACTGCAGTTTTAGTTGTTAATAAAAACCATGACCTTTTTCTTTGTAAATCACCATTTGAATTCTAATGGAAACGTTTTGGAATGCTTCTATTTTCACACCAACCAGACAGATTTGATAAGATAGAATTTTAACAGGGGTTCATTTTGTGTTGTTTTTCTTCATAAAAAAATAATTTCCTAGTATATTAGCCAATTTTAAGTTTTAAAATATAGTTTTGTTCTTGAATTTAATGTTCAAGAAGAAAAGTTGAGGATAAAATATACAATCTGGGTATTTAGAACCACCTTCAGCAATGTAAGGGTTAGGGTTAACCTGTTGAATCCTGAATTATCTCATTTCCATAGGCTTAACACAGGGACCAACCGGTTCCAGTAAGCAAAGGGTTATTGCTAAGAGTGCTTTTAATTTTGTAAAAATGAATCGGATTTCATTGTTAAGATTCCACGACAGGTGTCTTTACTCTCTCCCCAAGACACTACTCTCTCGACTCTTGAGATATATTGAGAAGCGGAAGAAGAACAAGAAGTTTAATATATTCTTGGCATGGTACCATGACGATACACTTTTATTTTGTCTGTCTAATTAGCAATGACATGTCTCATTACCTAGATGTGTACAATCAATTTCTTGAAGAGAAGTTGTAAATTAGAGCAAGTAGTAATGGTAAGGATGCGTTGTCTGCGGTAAACTCATTAAATCATCTCACCAAGATTATTCCAGTCGACTGTGATCATATTGTTAAGGATGGTATTTAGGGCAAATACCGGTACATCAGAGTTTGACATCCCTGATGTTTAAACAGGTTTTTGAATATTTTATCATGTTTTCATTTCATTTTTTCATTTTATTGTAATTAATAAACTCTTATAAT